TTCTGGTTGGTTCATAGAAGGAAACTGTGACTGCCTAAATTGTTTGGTCTTTATTGCATCCCCATATGTTGTAGTCTGAACATCTATTTTGAAGATAGGTATCTGCAATGAAGGCACTATGTTAATTTCCTATCAGCTTGTTTTGAAGACATGTGCCATTTTTAAGATTTTGTTTTGTTTTTATTGACTTGTTTTTTTTTAATCTTTTTAAAATTAAAAAAAAAAATTCCTCTAGGAGAGCCTTCACTGTGTCCCAAAAGTTTTGGTATGATATAAGAGTATCACTATGCTAAGCATATTAATTATTCCTTGTTTTCTTTTATGCCACCCATTATTTATTTAATAGAGCACTTTTTAAATTTTCTATGAATTTTCATAATTTCTGTGTTTTGCCATTAACTTTTAGTTCCCGTGCACAAGCATCTGGTAACATGCATGTTATAAGTTCAATTGTCTTTCATATTTAAGGAAGTTTTCTTTAGTGATCAGCATGTAGTCATTTGCTACTGAGAAAAATCTTTATTCTGTTGCCATTGAGTGGAACACCTACAGATATCCCTTAGCTCCATTTTTTCAAAGGTTTTTTTCAACTCTAATTTTTGCTGTCTAGAGGATCAATCTGTTTTTGATAGTGCGGTATTGACATCTCCCATTATAATTGTGGCTATGACGAGTGTACATTCCGTAGTGCTTATTTAGTAGTTAGTTGTGCTTATTTACTAGTTAGCTGTGTGTTGTGCTCCTGTGTGTTGTTTTTGGTGTGGAATTTTTGCCTTAACCAGTATATAGTAACTATCTTTGACTTCTTGATCAGTTTTGGCCTAAAGTCCACTTTGTCTAAAATTAGTATAGTTATACCTGTTTTTTTCAGGTTCCCATTGAATGAGATATTATTTGCCATTGATTGATTCATAATCTATGGGTTTGTTTTTGGGAAAAATGTCTTGTTTATATAATATACTATCAGATTATATTCTTTAATTCATTCTGGCTTTTGTGCATTACATTTGCAAAGCAAGGCCATTCACACTGAGAGTTATTATTGAGAGTTATCAGCATAGTTCTAACATCACATTATTTTTCTTTCACTGATTCCTCATATTTCTCTTTTACATACCTGCTCCTGATACATGGCATACGAATTTACTAGATTTTATTTTTAATTTTATTTAAAAGGAAAAAGAGAAAAACACAAAACAAAACAAAGTGGTGTAAGGGTACACGTAATACAGAACTACAAAAAAAAAAACAGTAAGAAATCGCCAGTTAATAGATTACATATTATCATCTTAGAAATAGGTTGCTCAAATCACAGTATCAAAGAATACAAAGTGGACATTCAAACAGGGAGGCTGCAAACAGCTGTGTTCAATGATCCAACCAAAAACATTAATAAGGTCAGCTATTTAACACCCCTAAACACACTTGCTGTTGCATCCTTTAGAGCTCTTTTTTTCCCCTCTCTTTTTTACAACAAAATTTACACATTTTGCGTTTTATTACTCCTTGTTCTTATTACTTTTTGGGGGGGGAGAATAAAGTCAAATATGGCAAAACAAAGCTGTCAGTCAAAACCAAGGATAGACATAGCACATGATGTAAAACAGAGTACAAGGTTATCAACAATGGTTATCAACGATGTCTCTTGTTTCCTTAAAAAGAATTGTCTATCTCATTAGATATTATAAAGTTGAACAAAACAGTAGAGAACAAGACCAATAAAACTTAGGCATTGTAAATATTACAGGACTTCCAAAGGAGACAATAGTCAAACCAGAATGGGCATCTTAGTGAATCTTATTGCCTTCAAAGTAGTTGCCTATACCCTCAAACTTGATACTATCATACAGAATGGAACAGACTCTAATCAGTCAAAACAAGATCGTGGGAGTATTACAGGACTTCAAAACAAGTTAATAGGAAATCAAAAAAAGTTACTATTATATATCCTGCTATTTTTTTTAATTTTCCCCTTAATTAAAACAAACAAGAAATAACTAAACAATTTTTTTAAAGAATAAGGGAGAGATTGAGATAAAACAGGGCATAACAATATAACAATACAGGTCAAAGCATGACTGTTTCAGCAACCTAGTGCTTCACCACCAAATAACCCAACTTAATAGTACTTACCAAAGTGTCTGTCTTTTTCCTTGAAATATTTGAATAAAACTTCATATACTATAGCTTCAAATATTTGCATATCAAGAAGACCAGAATAAAGCTTTTCCAATTAATAAGTGAATACATTATAAGGCTTCAAGGCCACATAATGGGGAATCATGATTACCACATATTTTTATATATTTGAATCATTACTTGCATTAGGGAAACTATTCGGTATTCACACATGCGAGATTGATTTATTTCACTTATGAGTATGGTCTCAAGCTGCGCCCATTTATTGATAAATATCTCATGTGATCCTTCTTTATAGCTGAATTATACTCCATTGTATAGAAATACCACAACTTTTTTATCCATTCCTCAGTTGATGGACACTTGGGTTGTTTCCAAGATCTGGCAATTACAAATTGTGCTGCTATAAACATAGGTGCACATATATCACTGTGGTATGATGCTTTCAGTTCTTCTGGGAATATGCCTAGAAGTGGAATAACTGGAATAAATGGAATTTCCAATCCCAACTTTTTGAGAAATCTCCAGACAGACCTCCAAAAACGCTGTACCAGTCTACACTCCCACCAACAGTGCAAGAGAGTTCCTTTTGCCCCACAGCCTCTCCAGCATTTGTTGTTGTTGGTTTTCTTGATCCTGGCCATTCTTTCAGGAGTGAGATGGTATCTCAGTGTGGTTTTAATTTGCATTTCTCTAATGACCAATGATGATTAACATTTTTTGATGTATTTATTTGCCATTTGCATTTCTTCATCTGAGAAGTGCGTATTCATCTCAGATGCCGATTTTTGGATTGGATCTTTGAATTTTGGGGGTCTGAGCTTTTTTAATTCTTTATATGTTTTAGACAAGAGTCCCTTGTCTGAGAGAGAGTTCACTAAAATCTTTTCCCAGTTTGTGGGTTTTCTTTTCATTATGCTGGAGATTTCTTTTGACATGCAGAAACTTTTTAATAAGAAGTGGTCCCAGTTATTGATTCTGGGAAGCATTTCCCGTGCGGTTTGAGTCCTGTTCGTGAATTCCCTGCCTACTCCTATGTCTTCAAGTTTTCTACCCAATTTGTCTTCCAATAGATTTAGTGTTTCTGTTTTAATATTCAGATCTTTAACCCATTTAGATTTTAATTTAGTACATGGTGATAGACATGGATCTAGCTTTAGTTTTTGGCAAATGGAGAGCCAGTTTTTCCAGCACCATTTATTAAAGAGACTGTCGTTCTTCTAGTGAACCTGCTGGGCTCCTTTATCAAAGATAAGGTGGTTGAGTGTGTTTGTAGTTGTGGTTGTATCTTCTAATCTATTCCATTGATCTTTGGCTCTGTTTTGATTCCAATACCATGTTGATTTTACTACTGTTGCTTTGTAGTATAACTTCAAGTCAGGGATTGTGATGCCTCCTGCTTTGTCTTTGATGCTTAGAATTGCCTTTGCTATTCTAGGTCTCTTCTGGTTCCAGATGAAATTTAGGAGTGATTTCTCTAGGTCTATAAGGTATGTTGACGGTATTTCTATTGGGATTGCATTGAATCTGTACAACAGTTTGGGGAGAATGGCCATCTTCACAATGTTTGTTCTTCCTATCCATGAGCAAGGGATGTCTTTCCATTTTCTGAGGACATCTTCAATTTCTTTTTTCAGTGTATTATAATTTTCACTGTATAAGTCTTTCACTTCTTTCATAAGAGTAATTCCTAAATATTGAGTTAACACAATGTATCAACTATTAAAAAGCTAAGGCAGATTCCCTGTCAGGAGTCCTATGTTTCCTGTCTACTTCCTTCTGACCAGCAGGCTGGCTCTGAATTTTTCTTATCAATTTGCCACCCTGGATCGAAGCAAAGGAAGTGGGTTGGTAAATTAAATCATTGTTCATCTTCACAGGATTTTACAGCCAATATTTCAGAAAAGAAATTTGTTTCAATTCTAAAAATAATTCGTATACTCTATGAGTCATAAAATGACTTCTTTTGAGTACATTTGAGTTTGAAATGGCTCTCTTAGTAGCTGAGCAAAATTTATACAACTATCTGTGAGCCCAATCTGTGAACAATAATAGGATCTAAAGGGGAAACAACAGTGTAAAGAAAGAGGACCTGGCCCTGTCACAATTCTGACAACTGTCTTTGCCTTGGACATTAAAAGATGTCATGAAACAAAAGGAAATATTCTCTCTTTTCACATAAACTAATATATGAGAATCAAACATTAACAATAAACATGGAATAGGAAAATATGGTAGAATTTTAAACAATCTTACCTTATTAAATCTGCCATCTCTTTTAATGTCACTATACAGAAATGAGATGTCCTTCTCAATGTATTGAGATATGTTTCTTTCTTTAGAGGATATATTTAATAGGCCACTGACAAACAACAACAAACTCAACTGTGCAGATTTTTATTTCATGAAATATTCTAGTGCCTAAGGTGGAAAATTTTCATGATCTCAATCGAGGAACATTCACTCCCTTTAAGCCATTGCTTCCCTTTTTTGCTCCCTTAACTAGGATCACAGATGCCAGAGATTGTAAGTCCTGGATCCACTCTCAAAGCATCCCATTTCAAACTTAAATGTCCTCAAGGAAAAAACACTTACACTAACCACTGAAACATCAAAGTACTTTCAAAAGCATGACACAACAATTCATTTGCATTAAGTACAGTATTTACTATGGAAGAGCACAAGAGTTGTTGTAGTATGTTCACATGTATTAGAGCACAATAATTCAGTTACACATGAGATAATTTAGGTGCAGAAGGATTTGTTCACTGAAAGGACTTACACCTACTCTAAGCCCAAGGGCCTTTGCCTACTGAACCAGAAAGAGAGCAAATTCACTGTGATGCTGAACACAGACTTACATTACGTAGGTTGGGCAGTTACTGATTCCATTTTCTTCAAGTGGTGGGCAGAAGTTTTGTCCCAAAAGTTCATTATTCTGCAAAGCCTAATAAAAATGGGAATTTGAATAAAATAAGTATATTTTTTAATTTTTTAGATTTTCTAACAAGTTTATCATAATTTTGTCCCTGCATTTTACCTTTTTTTTCTTTCTTCCTGAAAGCATATCAAGATTCACTTTCATAATCCTTGTCACAGCAAAGTAACTAGGCTTATTTTCTTGCCACTGAAGAGGCTTGGGGTTGAGGCATTATTTTCATTTTGACAATAAATAGACACTGGAAAGATTACCTCAAACTTGGTAGGATAAAACTGGTGTTGAGGGAATATTGTTGACCTATGACAGTAATTTTTTATTTCCTTTTGTTTTTATCACAATCAGTTGCAGTTATGGGAGCTACAAACATAGTGATACTAGAAATGTCCCTTAGTTTATTGAAGAGAAAGTTTTGTGCTATTCTGATTATTTCTTCTTTGAAACAGACAGTCCTCTTTCTTTTTTTTTTCTATGACTTATACTCTGAATAACATTTTGTCTACTCTTTTAAGATTATGATACCCAGTGTACTAACTGTTATTATTCTCTAATCATGTTGTTTTATATTTCTCTTAGAAGAAGGTTTTTTTGTTTTTTGTTTTTTTGTTTTTTTTTTTTTTACATACTATTAGCATCTACTTGTATTACACTGAAATTTAAAAAGAAACAGTTTTCTTTGGGGTCGATTATGGTGCTAAGTTAAATGTGTCTATGAGCATTACACAGTCTTTGTTTTTGTTCTTAGGTGAGATGGAAACTATGCATTCCAGTCTTCTGTTGTCTCATTTATTTCCTTATTGAATTGCAAAGCACCATTTCATCAGTGTTCTCTTTACTGTGAGATTTACCCCATCCTTCATCTCCCTCAGACAGTGGGGAGACTGTAGGAAACCTCAGGCCACTCCCTGACTTTGTGCTAAGCACAGCTAATAGGTATTTCGCCTCCTCTGCCCCTTAGAGTAATGGCCGGGAAAAGCAGATGGCCAGCATTTATTTTGCTTGCTTCCAGCCTGGGAACAAAGATGAGTAAGCACAATTACCATCAGGCCGAAGTATGCAATGTTGATGTATTGAAACCACTGGAGCGAAGACCCATTAGTTCCAAGAAGAGCTGCCACAATGTAAAACATCTACAAAACAGCAAAAGCCATGAATCACCACAGGTCCAGGGATTTCAGAAGGAATCCTAGGAAACATTTTTTATTGAGAAGACAACTACCTTCAAATAGATGCTATGCAAACTACCTATGCAGTGTTGTTTAGAAAATAATGACAAGAAAAGGATAAAGTATTTATTCGGTACAGACAATTTTTGTTTCACGTCTTTTTGAGACAAGGTTAGTTGAATCTTTGGATATGGAACTGATGAACTGATGAGCCAAATCTGTTGAGTATTCTAAAGACATCAGGCTCCTTTTTTCCCCTAAAAATATTGGCAATCCTGAAACAAATCTGAGCGCTCCTAGGCATCACATAATCCACTCTACTTCCTTACCAAAATAGAGTCATTTCCATCAGTTATTTAGAATGTAAGTCATAGGAAAAAAAAAAGAAATAAGACTGTCTGGTTCAAAGAAGAAATAACTAAAAAGCATAACAATTTCTCTTCAATAAACTAAGGGAAACTTATATTATCAGTGTGTTTCTACTCCCATAACTGCAACTGGTTGTGATAAAAACAAAGGTGAGTAAAAGATTGTTGTCATAAATCAACGCTATTCCTTCAACACCAGTGTTATCATATCAAGTCATTCTCAACATGTGGTCAGAAGCAGGTTTATACTAACACATAGCTAAGAACTGATAAACACCAGTATGCGGTGAATTACAGCAGATAATGTGATCAATGCGTCCATTTAAACTGAGGCAAAAGCAGCATTGCTATGACGATGCCTCAATTGCTCAAAATGAGCAATTTGCAGTGTGAGCTTCACACAAATCTTTTTCTAACTGAAACAAGATCTGCCATGATGTGCAAAAAAAAATCAATGTTGCTTGTGAATGTGTAAATATTTACACTTCATTTAACAAATGTTTCATGTATAGTAGATAATTTCTGGGTAAATGTAATTGTGTGACTGATTTTAAATGTCAATAGACATCAGTACATAAAATCTGTACAAGTATCAAATCAATGAAAACTTTTTTGCTTATTCAGATATTTTTTAGTGGTTCAAAAAGTATGGTTACTTTCTCAATGATATCTACACTGGTAGCTACAAAATTCGTATATGTAAGAAAAAAGTTTTGCCAAGTGCTTATGGCAGTGATGACAAATATTTTAGAGCTTTCAGGGATAACAGTTGGTTAGTATGTGTGATATAGGTTCACCACCACTGACCTATGGTAATTATCAATCATTTAGCAACATGTGCTCCTGCTGTAGCAGAAAAGATCCTTGTTTTAAAATCCAAAGAAAATCTGTTTAATTGATAATCTAAGAGAAAATATTTCATTAATCTCATAACTCATAACTTCCCACCTACGTGAGTGGAAAATTTAGATACATGTCAGATTAGAACTAGATCAGTATGTATTTAAAAAAATAAGTAGATATGTTGACATACAAAATTGCCACAAACCCATAAAGGCAGTGAGTTAGTACTGTGAACTTACAAATGTTTCAGCCTTTTAAGATTGTCTTGTATTAGCCCACATTAACATCACATTATGTTAGAGTTCACTGGAAAGTTGGCACATGCATTTAACATGTCTTACTCAAGTTCAATCTCTTTTATTTTCTGCCTCCCACAACTTGGTTCTCGCCTAATTCCAGAAGTATTACTCATGGTTTCCTGACCTGTCTTTACTTTTAATTGCTTTTTAATGTATTTTTTATGTTTATCACCAAAGAGAAAGCATGACATTTAATTATATGTGACTAGCCAATTTCACCTAACATGATAGTGTTTTGTTCCATTTATTTTCCTACAAATGACTTGATTTCATGCTTCTTTACAGCTGAGGAATATATATATATATATATATATATATATTACCTTTTCTTAATTCATCTGTTAATGGGTATGTCACAGCTTAGCCATTGTGAATTGCACTTATATAAACATGGCTGTGAATATATCACTACCTTATGCAGTCTATAATCCCTTCTGGGATACACCCATGTTGTGTGGCTGAGTTTAAAGATATTTCAAATGGTTTAAGTATCACATATGTTGTTTATTTTTCTTTTAAGGCAAAAGATACTAATGTTTGAGGGTTTTTTTCCCCTAAACTAAAACCTCAACAATGAGGTTTAATTGCAGTGTCAACACTTTGTGATAAAGAAGTGGATCTTCAGTTGTCATTTGTGCATTCATCTGCAGAAGGTTTGCCATCACTGGTTTAAACATTTGAGGAATATCCATACTGATTTCCACAGAGTTTGTAATAGTTTACCTTCCCAGCAACAATGTAGGCACTTTCTTTATCCCCTGAATTCTTGTTTGCAGCTGTTGTGTTTCTTGCTGTGTCTTTTTCTATTGGCTTATATGTATAGTTTGTGCAGTACTATTTCTGTTCACTATCTCCTTCTAAATGAATTTGAGATATGTATAAGGATGTCTCCACCCTTACTGTTTTGGCTGAGGACTGTTTTGTCTATTTTGATTCTTTTTAATTTGGAATGAAATTCATAACTGCTTTCTTCCAGTTTGCTGAATAATACTGCTTTGTTATAGGGATTGCACTGAAGATAAAGATCTTTTTTATGGCCATTTTAACAAATTTTACTCTCTCAAAACAAAAACAACAGATTTTTTCTCATTATCTATACTGCTTTGTTATAGGGATGGCATTGAAATATAGATCTCTTTTATAACCATTTTAACAACTTTTAGTCTTCCAATCCATGAAAAAGCAGTGTTTTTCCATTGTCTATTATTATTTTTTATTTCTTCAAAGTACCGTTAAGTTTCACTATAGAAAACTTTCACTTCTTTCATTATATGGATTTCTATGTATTTTAATTTTGAAGCATTAGTTAAAAATATTTTTCTGATTTCCTTCTCAGTGGTTTCAACATTGATGGCCAGAAGCACAAATTTATTTTTATCTATTGTTTTTGCATCCAACCGGTTTGCTCAACTTGTGTGTTAGATCTAAAAGACCTCTTGTGGAGGATTTTTATGTGTTATATGTATCCATAATGTAAAGAGTCATATCCCCTGCAAATTTAAGGATACTTTGGATTCATTTTCCTATTGAAAAATCCCTTTCTAATGAACTGAGATAAAATCAACTTGATCTCAATGTATAATTTATCCAATTTTCTATTGAATTCTGGTATCGAGGATCTAACTGAATAGTCTTACGTTTGTGTTCATGAAGGACATTGGTCTATACCTTTTCCATTTTTGTGGAGTCTTTATCTGGCTTTGCTATTTGTGTATTACTGCTGTCTTAAAATGAATTTGGACAGAAACATTTCTTTTCTACTATATGGAAAAATTAGGGTGAAGCATTGGTGTTAGTTCATCACTGAAATTCTGATATTATTCAGCTACAAATTTATCTGACCCTAGGCTTCTGCTAACTGGAGTTGTTTAATACTACTTCCACCTCATCACTCGTTATTGAAACACTTAGATTTTGAATACACTTTTGGCAAGATTTAGCTATTTCTCATTCATTTAGGAATTTAACAGTTTCTTCTAGGGTCTCCAAACTTTGGAGCATATATTTTAAAAGCAGCTTCTGATATTGCTCTGGATTTTAGGGATGGCTTTTATAGTTTCAAATTTTTATTTTAACTTTCTTAATTTGGGCCTTTTTATTCTTTTGGTAACTTTGTTTACATTTCAAAGAAACAAATCTTTGATTTGCAGATTCTGTGTGCTTTTTAAAGGCTCAATTTCATTATTTTCTACAATCCTCAAATTACCGTTTCTTTTACTGGATTGGGCCTCGTGTGTGTATCTAATTTTCCAATCTGTCTTTTACTTAAAGATTTACAATTATGAACAGTGAATGTTATTGTGAAAAAACATGTACATGGTCTTGCCACTTCCTTATCTTGTATTTGATTCTGTTTTATTGGTTATTCTTTTAACTTTTCATTCATTGAGCTTTATTTTTTCCCATTGTCTCTCAACTATTGTCAAGTTTATGTTTTAGTGTTATTCTTTAAGCATTTCCAGCAATGCTAGCCTGGCAGACATGAATTTGTTTAGTTTAATCTTATCATGTAAGTTATTTATATTTTCTTTGTAGGATACATTCCTACAAAGGAATTCTAGGATTGTAGGATACATTAGTCTGGGTTAGCAATTAGTTTCTTTTAGGTGTTAAAAATTTTCATTTTAACTCCTTTGGCTCTTTTATTCTCTTGGATCTCTTCTATTCTCTTGGGAGGATCTGCCATTATTCTCATAGATTGACACTACAAGCTGCTTGGCACTCTCCTAACAGCCTATAACATTGTTTCTTTGTTCTGAGATCCAAGCATGTTGACTGTGGTATGTTATAAAGAGTTTCTTTCCTGATTCTAAGTACCTCCTTCATTTAGGTACTTGTCTCATTTATAATTTTAGGAAATTTTCTGCTGTTATTTCATTGGATATTTTTAGTCTATTGTCCTTTACTTCAACACCTTCTATTAGGCCAACAGATTTAAGTTCATTCTTTTAGATTGATGTTGAAATGTATCTGTACTTGGATCAATGTTGCTTATTACTCATCTTTTCCCCTTCCTTACTCTGTATTCTAGCAATTTTCCACCTTTTTTGCACCAAATATTCTGTCTTCTGATTAACCTTGTCTGCTTCCTAAATTTTCAAAGAAATTTTTAAATTTAATTTATTGATGCTTTCACCTTCAGGATTTCTACATGGTTCTTTTTCAGAACTTCTCTTACTTACTGAAATAATCTTTTAGATGCTGCATTATCTCCTATAATTAATTCAATTGCTTTTCATATCTTCTTTGAGCTCATAGTCAATTTAATGATTACTTCATTCATCTGCTATTTTTAAATTTTCATTTTTTAAACTCTTTATCTCCAGTTTTATTTACTTCCTCAGCTGTAGTCTTAGCTTCTACAGAGTTGTGTCTTTGCAGGGATCTTATTGCTTTGGTTTCTCATCTTAGTTCTGCCTCTGTGTGCATTTTGGATTTCAATTTGGAAATGCATGTCCTCTCCTGTGTAGTTAGAGTGATATAAGTGACTATATCTTACTGATTACAGGTATGACTCCTTAGGAAAATTTCCACCTATCCTTTTCTGGATACTCCTAACACTGATGAACAGAATCTGAACATTTTTGAATTGCCATAATACAAGATGGTGATTCTTCTTTGAATAGTGCCTTCTCCAGTGATGGAAAAGTATGTACTGTGTTACTGTCAGTGTACTGGGACACAGATTTTTCTGTGCCTAATAGCAACCATGTGTGATTGTTGCTTCCACTGTCTAAATGGCCTAATGTCCTTCATGAAGTAGCACTATAATTCTATAGTAGAGACTAAGAGCTTGCTGTTTACCCACCAAGGCCTATACATAGACTCTACTTGGAAAGAATCCTACCTAATAGTAAAATTACAACTTTTCTGAAAAGTTGAAAGAACATTTTGTAAAAATATGAGACACACCCTAATATGAAACACACTGTATTTTTACTTTGTCACGTGTCTTAATTTTCACTGTGACAAAGAGTAATTCCAACAAAAATTATTTCTGCTGTGGTTGAGAACCAGGATTTCTCTTTTCAAACATAACAGGCATGAAGAAAATTTATTTGGCTGTACTATGAAAGAAGCTGCCTATCATAATTCTGCTATTTTTGAATTTCTCAAATATAAAAGTTTCATAATATGTCTCAGGAACTGTTTTTAAAAGCTAATTATCCAGCTAGCCACGGTGGTGTACCCCTGTAATCCCAGCATTCAGGAGGTTGAATTGGGAGGATCAGAGGTCAGCCTTAGCTACAAGTGAGTACAAGGCCAGACTGAACTATAGAGCAAGACCATGTCTCAGAAAAAGGATAGAAAGAAGAAAGAGAGGAAGAAAAAAGAAGGAAGCAAGGAATAAAGAAAGAAAGAAGGAAGGAAGGAAGGAAGGAAGGAAGGAAGGAAGGAAGGAAGGAAGGAAGGCAAGAAAGAAAGAAAGAGAGAAAGAAAGAAAGAAAGAAAGAAAGAAAGAAAGAAAGAAAGAAAGAGGAAAAAAGGAAGGAAAGAAGGAAGAGAGGGAGAGAGACAGGAAGAGCTAACGCTCAAATACATGTAAACCAAATTATAGTTAAGTATATTAGAACAGAGGTGACAAAAAAGATTGTACATGAGTATTGAGGAAAGCTATTAAATTCCTTTATAACTGTTTCAACTTATGATTTCCTGAAAGAAACAGAATCCCATATATTGAATCCTCAGAGCAAGATTTATATGACTGTGAGCATGTAAGAAAGATCAAAGACAAAAGATTCTCCCTCAGAGATGCACAGTTCCTACTCACCAACATAAACCAAAAGTAGTTTCCTATGAGAAATGTTAGTATGGGCAGCATGAGCACACTCTGACCTACAGTCATGGCCAGTTCCACCGATTCAGCTGAACAAGTCATCATCAAAATGGTAAGCATTGTAATGAAGAAAGCCTCCACGGCTGGTTTCAACCCTTTGGAAAAAAAGAAGGAATTAGTTCAGCTGCCTACATTGTTACGTATTTGTTATAGGTTACTGTGCAAATAGCATTACAATATTTTGAGAAACTGATATCAAAATGGAAAAAGTGACAATCTAATCAAGTATCCTAGTGCACCAATTTGATTGTCACCTGCATGTAAATGTACAAACATCACAGAATTTTCTATTCACATTTATTCCAAAGTCACTTTCCACATAGCACCTGTGATCAGTGCATGCCATTATGAATAATTTCAAGTTCCTGAGGTGGTTTTAATATCTTCAGGAAAGAAAAATTCTGCCGTAATTTAAATCCCCAGTGACAAATGACTCAGTGGAGAATGAGAAATTGAAGTTTCATAAATTACTTTGTAATAATGACCTGGTACTGTAGGTTAAACAGCCTGAAGATTGGGAAATAGGTACACTAATACGAGTCAGTAATGTAAGAGTTTGTGGAATATTCCTAACTTTTATGACACACATCTTTTTAATATAATGATAGATTTAAACACTATTAGTGGTCATATCCTTTATTGAGATATAACATATGTGTTTCTGGTGTATGTGTGTGTGTGTGTGCAATGAGTCAGTGGTGAAACGTTGAATATAATGCACAAATGAACTTTTCTATATCCATGAAATAAACATTTCAATTAATTCAATAAATTCAAATTAATTTTTCTCTCTTTGTACAATGAGAGAAGATGATACATGCATATATGGAAAATTTGATATATCTCTATATTTATTTATGTGTATGAACCTTTATGATTGTGTATATGTAATTAGATAAATATAGGTTTAAAGTTATAGATATGCTAAAGTTATTAAGTGCTTATCTAAATTTTATGTTTATTTAGACATACATGTTGAAAGACAGAAAATACAAATGGTTATGCGATAAATATTCCAACATTTGCAAGATAGGCTCAAAAAATCTTACAAATGTTTTCCATATTTCAGTATGAGTCACAATAAATGGTCATCTTAATAAAATATAATTCTACAAATAGTTTCATAAATTTTGTTTTAAAAAGTCTCCAAAATAACACCCACATTGAAAAGTTATTTTAGAGTGTGCATGTCTGGTGGTTACATGCTGCAAGCATGGCTTATGCAAGCAAGCCATAGCTTATGGCTTGGTCTGTAGTTTGGAGAACAGTAAGCGTACTGACAAAAGGAAAAGGGCTTCACATGTAAGTCTTGCCACTTACCTACTATGACGTAGGGTATGAAAGTGAGTATAAAACTGTGCAACATCCTCCTGGGAATCATGTCACACAACACTTTCCCAAGGAAATAAGATGACACTGTGTAGTATCCACACATATATTCATGCCTGTAGACGACAAACACAGTGTACATAACCCTGATAATTTAACAAGTAGTAAACTAGTTGATAAGGTTCTTTCTCTATAGATTTCTGCTGTTACACGTATAATAGGAGACCTTCACTGATCCCCCAGGCTCCACTAGCTCTTCATGCTCTCAGAGGTTAGGACTTCTGCACATCAGCCACAGGAGGCTCTCACTGTGATCACTCCTCATTACACGGCCCTCCAGTTGTCACCTACACTGTCCTCAGAACTCTGCACCCTGTCCACCCTCTGCATTCCGCACACTGTGTCACCTCACTCTCCTCAGAGACTGCACTTCCCCTTTCTTGCTGGCTCTCTGTTCAGAACAGCACTTGAAGCTGTGTTCTCAGTGGGCATAGAATTTTTCTTGCCTTACTTCTGATTATTAAGAAGGTGACATCATTATTGTCTAAGTCCTGAAATGCAGTTTCAGATTACTACTGTGGTTTTATTTCCGCTACTCTCATGCTTACAAAAGACTTCTTTTAGTGATTACACCTCTACCCTACAGAATCCTGTCAACCACCAAATCCTAATCTTTCTCCTTCATGACATCGATTCTGTCACAATTATAACTTCCTCTACTCTTTTCATTTTTTCCTCTCTGATGATTTCTTTCCTTGATATGGAAATGGGTGCAAATCCCTTCCATCTTTAAAAATATAAGAAATAAAATAATTCTCTTCCTTACTATAAAGAAGATTTTTGGCTCTTTGCACTCCCCCTCATATTATTTTGGTCACATTCTTTGTCAGCTTTACCTTCCAAGTTCAATTTAGTGACAGTTGCACTGCTTAATCTCCTGCAAGCCTCACAAAACTAACCAAAGATCCTTTAGACCCTGTATCACTGCTTCCTCTGCAACACTGCCCTTTCCTGAATAAAATCTAAACTCACAACTGTTTTAACTTGGCATCAGGTCCCATAAATGCTCCATTTTCCTCTGTTCTGTGACTACGTTTTCTCAATAAATGTTGGTAATTTCCATAAAAATTTAAAATTTCATATTATAAATGATGAATATTCACAATTTATAAATGAATTAAATATTTAAATAAGGAAAATTTAATAAAGAGTATGAATGGCCAGAATGACATTCTTTGCCATATTGTGGATGTAACCATTTGCCCAACATCCTCTAATGGCCCTTCCAAGACCTGAGCACTACTCACATAAAGAGCTTCTTCTCCTCTTGAAAGAGCTGTATTGCAGAGAAGAAGCTATAATAAATGGAATCTGTCAGTAAAAAGAGCATCCAGATTCTGTCAGGATAGAAAAGAAATGAAAACAGCTCAGTTATTTAAGTACATTCAGGTCAGTTTCCTACTCACAGGACTTTCCAAAAATGATACAACATTTAACTAATCAAAGACAAAGAAAGAATGTAGCCTGCTCCTAGGAAAATGGAGAGAGAGACAGAGACAGAGAGAGACAGAGAGAGAGAGAGAGAGAGAGAGAGAGAGAGACAGAGACAGAGACAGAGACAGAGAGACAGAGAGACAGAGAGAGATCAAAAGGGCAGAATTAAAGCAGACACTAGTTCAACTCCTCTCATGACCTGAAATTGAGACTTGCAGGGAATATCTTTTGCTTCAGCTGAGGTTGCTGTATTATTTTTAAAGGGGAAATGTTGAAGTTCTGGATTTTGCTTGACTCCTACATGGATGTTTTCTGTAATTACTAAGGCCCTGAGTTTTTTTTTTTTTTTTTTAAATCCAACCATGGCCTGGAATACGTACAAGTCCTGAATCTTTTCATCATGCTCACAGAATATTATATTCATGGGAGCTAGAGTTTGAACCACATGCTTTCATGGGTCTCAACTACAGTTAATCATAAAGAAAGTGAAGAAACAGCAACACCATGTCTTTGATTTTCAATTAGAAGCAAAGCTCCTGTCTGTCCTCTTGCTGATAGCTAAAATTTTGGTAATGCAATGTACCATTACTGAATGTCAAGAAAGAATAAAATTCAAAGACAAGTTAAAATGTCACTGATCATTGAGGACATATGTTAGTGAAATACACACACACACACACACACACACACACACACACACTCCACACAGTTTGTAGCTACATATATATATATATAGCTCTTTGAGTATTGAAATTCAGACAGAAGAAAAACTGTATCAATCAGGAGTTTGGATAGATTTGTATGGAGAATTACAGTTCTTCTGGACATGGAGATTATTTCTGCAAAGATAAAAAACAGGTATAGAGTTGCATGCTGGTGATAGCTGTATATGGGATGTACTTGGTGCTACTGAACTATACTTTTAAAATAGTTAAAATTGAAAATAACTGTTTTATGTACATTAAATTGACACACATATATTCATATGTGATGAAGAAAGTAAATGGTGTTATTTAGTTTTCATATGTCAACTCCTATCAGTAATACAATATTGTACTGTAATTCTTTTACATTAAAATTCCTAACAGAAAGCCATACACTTGAACAAAGTAACAACATTTATTGCAATCAAGAAATAAAATTACTTACCTGTTTTGGATGGCAGTGCAATCATTTTTTATCCCAAGGAAAAAGGCACTTATAAGCAGTCCTTCTATAATTACATTAATGATCTTTCCAAAATAAAATATAAAAAAGCAATCAGAACAAATTTACTTCACATTTAGAGGTGAAATTTTTACACATTATGACTATTAGGATAGATATAGATTACAAAGATAGAGATATCACCATTCAACTAAAGACTTTAACAACAGTGGCCAAAGTTTCATGATAAATATAAAGTATACTCTATTAGACTGCTCCTTACATTAAAGTGAAAATTTATGAATTGTTTGAGGAGCTGATAAGATAACAGAGGAGACGGCAATAAAAGCTAAATTTCCTCCCAGGCATCATCAGATCAGGGAACAGCTCAAATGATGAGCTCATGAATGCCATGAAGTGTTACAGAGCAATGCAGGCAACTGGAGGGGTGCTTGTGGGAACAAAATAAAGTCTGCATGGCTAAGAGCTGTGTGCTAATCTGACATCAAGGTCTCTGCCAGTGAAAGTGAACATGCACAGCTTCATACTAAAAGAGGAAAAAGTGAAAACAAGACTAATTTCAACAGAATTTTAGGGCTCTTATGTACCTCAGAAGTAGAGTTTGCTTAGCATGTACAGGAATCTGGGTGTTATGGCTCAAATGTTGTGTTAACTTGAGAAGTCTATAAGCAAATCTAATGACTCATTAGCCCTACATCCTGGGGTACAGAAGACAAGTAGTTACAATTCTAGAATATTGTCATTGTGTCAATTTGAGAAGGTCAGAATGTTAATTGATTCAGCAGGGGGTCAGGGTCCCTAGTTTGCGATATCCTCAACCTTTACAAGTGGAGTTCACACAGATGATGTTAGTGCTACATCCATCCCAAGGTAGCAGCTTGTGTACAATAAAAGAAAAATGAGAAGGGACTGATTGCTGATTCTTCAGAGGAGTGCCTGTCTTCGCCTTCAGTTTGCACTTGTCTCCTGGCTTCTGGCATAGGCTGTTTATCTTCTGGCTGGGACTCTTCAGCCTTCATCATAAGCTTTCAGCCCTTCATCATACATTCTCCAGTGTTCTGCTGTCAACCCATCAACCTCCTGATATAGACTTTCATGGGACACTGTAGTAAGCTCCAGCCCTTGGGCTGGATACTTCAACCTCCAGCATACAGACACCCTCTGCAAATTCCCTCATCCAATTTTGTGGCTGACCATGGTAAGCCAATCTGCTAATTTCTTACACATTTGTATGTCTTGGCTGTATCTGTTTCTTTAGTAAACCCTGAGTGATACACTGGGATTGATTCCCAGTACCAAGAACTGAATGAATAATAAACTTTTATAAAAGCACACAATGCCATACCTACAGTAAGTAGTTATGCGTGAACAGAATGCCAGTTATCCAATGTCTAAGAAGTCCCTTACTGCATAGAAAAGGGAACTGTCATCTTAACCAAATGTTTCAGATAGCTTTCCCTAGGATACTGAAGAGATGCCTTTACTCCTCTCTGTCACTGTTTCTCCATCAACCTCTGCCCCTGAGGCTTGAACTCCACACAGCCAACTGAGCTGTCAGTGCTTGCATCTTTCGTCTACTCTGTGTGGATGGCTCCCAGGGGGACTGCACAAACATCTCCTTTGTTTTTAAAATGAAAAGTCTCTTACCTAACACCAATTAGCTAAGGCTTCAGCACTACTTTATGAGGTTATATAATGCATGTATTTTTCTTGTAGTTACACATGGATTGCAGACAGCAACATTAGAAACGATGATTTAAAAATGAAAATACACTAACGTATATTTTGGAACTGCCATAATTGTAAAAATCTTAATATAAGAGCAGGCTCAAGACATGAGGTAATTTATCAAGGTTTTAAAACTTTAAAAAATGCAAAGTAGTAAAACATAATAATAGTCTATAATGACTAGTTTGTGAAAACCATAGTCTATGAAGGATACCATTGAAATGTTCAACTCATTAGATGATTTTTAAAAGTCCCTTGACAATCAAGTGTAATATGAGGGTGACTGCATTACCCAGACATATTTTCATTACACTTTGAATATACTCCTCTTTGTTTCATCACAACAGCATTCCAAGATAAATGCTGATGGCTTTATCAACATGCACTATGGTCATGTGTACAATAATCTATACTTTTGTTTAGTAAAACATTCTATGAATGATGTTCATCAAATTAGCCACTCTCTACCCTCTGTTTTTTCCATTGAAGCATGATACTATATGCCATGTCCTAGTTTCTCATCGTGGGACACATTACCTAAGACCCATAATTAAACACAACACCTAATACTTAAACCATTCATGATTATTAGATATTTCAGTCCAGACTTAGCTGGTTGCAAGACAGAAACTATGTGTGGAAAGGGCCTGGGTAGAAGAAAGATGCTCATGATATGGTGTACAGGAGGCAGACACAGAACAGAGGCTGCAGGGAGGGAGGTGTATTCTTCCAGGTCATGACCCAACGACCTACTGCTAATCAGTTCAGATCTCCAAGCATCAAGTGAACTACAACATGCAATCACTTCCTAAAACCCATCATCCAATCCCTTTCTAAGATCCTACTTCTGAAAGCATGTGACTTTGTGAGAATACAAGATCTAAACTGTGATATACCAACAATATCACTATTACCAGTAGGATGCCTCACACAGGTTTGAAAGTTCTTAAACTATTTCAGTCAGTTTACAGATATATTTTCAAAACAGCGAATTTCTTAAGAAACTCCTGTTTTTTAAAATGTGCAAGTGTGTTACTCATTTGGTTACCAAAAATGTCTTTAAGCAAACTGAAGATTTAACTAAAAACAAATGATACTGCTATAATCATTGGACAGTTGGTCTCAATCCTTTTTTGATACAAAAGCAGATGAAACATGATAAGAAATTAGCTCTCCAAATATGTTACTGTTCAAATGTATTTAGTCACTATTTCTGGTGGTGAGTTCTGAGGGATGTTTATGGCTGTCACTGATAGAATGAATCCACATTCAAATGTTTAATATGTGTTATGGATTAAAAACTGGTGGTCATCTTAACACCAGCTGGATTAAATCAGCACAATTCTGAGTGTAGATGTTCCACCTGAGAGAAGTTGTGAGCATAAATAGAGACATGGAGAAGACGAGCGAGGCATTGTGGGTTCTCCTCTGTGTTGCGGTTTGAGCTGTTGGTTCTCCTGGAGGAGCTCATCATGACTAGCTTCCCCAGTGTAAGTTTGACCATTGTCATGGGAGGAGCTTGAGACCATGTTGGTGACAGCATGTGTGGTTCACTTTGGGGGAGCTCTGGTCCTTACATGAAGCATCGCTTCCTGGCTCTGGAGGGGAAGACATGTGTCATTTAATCTTCAGGACAAAATTCACGCTGGCTTTCTGGCATGTACTCAACTATTCCTACCCTCAGAAGAGCTCTGGACCTCTGTGTCTCTGAGGATGGCTGTTGTGCTTTTCAGGGCAGCCCTGGTCCTCGCTTGGAGCATGACTTCTTGCCTCCAGTGTAGAATCCTCAACCTACCAGCACAGCTCCTTCTCCCCACTGGCATAGACTTTCTGACTTCCACCGGTTACCTTTGGACCTTCTCTGCACAGATTCGTAAAATAGACTGAGGTGAGTCCTTCTTGTGGGCTCTAGACCTCCAGTTGGACTTGTGGGAGGCATTGTCATAGTCTCTAGGTTTTCATCTGGACTTACACAAGATACTGCTTTGGGATCCAAGCCCTTGGCTAAATATTCTGAGTCGTTAGTGTTGTGGATAGATTTCCTGCACTTTCTTTTGCTAACTCTGGGTGACCATCATAAGAGAATAAAATAAATTCCATGTCCTGATTCTAATTGTTGTCCTCACAATCCCTAAATACAAAAATATGCTCATAGAAAGGACTCTCCATGTGACAAACTATTATGTCTGCCACATTGATTTGTCTGAAAAACCCATGGCACATTAAATGAACACTATACTCCTTAAACAGATAACCCACTCATGGCAAGATCTTCAAAATACAACCATTAGTAAATGGCCAATGCTGGAACACTGAAACATAAAACAAGTGAAAGCAAAAAAAAAAAAAAAAAAAAACAGATGTAAGAAAATAGATGTAAGATTTATCTTCAGAAATTCATAAACATTTCAATAGCTCCACATAAAAAAAACCAGAGAAATAATAAACCTAAAGGATGAAGAATCTATCTCTAGGGTCAGTGACCAATAGCCCAGTGACTAGAGGGTCAAACATATATTTGTGCAAAGCTGTGAGATAACAATAAATTTTACCAGTATTACTGATAGTGTGAGGGGATCAAGAATATTTCTTACAATAATAAAAAATACATGAAATTCAAATTTTGTTGTCCATAACTAAAATTTTATCAACACATAACCTTGTTCATTTCCTTACATTAGTTATAACTGTAATCACAATAAAGTAGCAGGATTCATGACCTAAGAAAAAGACCATACACAGATTACACAAAGCCTAACATAATTACTTTGTGGTCCTTTGCCAAAAAGGTTTTTTTACTGCTGTTCTACTATTCCAGTGTTTCTAAACTTGATCAATAATTGCCATGCAAAATTCAGGGGGATACAAGGTCCTGCACTTTTTCTAAAGATTGGTGCTTCTCTGAACCTCCTGGATTCCCTTTATGGAAATGGGTTTCCCTAACAGCAAACCACCACAGCCCTGATGTGTACAAGTAGTTACATTTTAATCATACGCTTCCCAGAGCTACCATATACTTATCTTGGATCAGATATATATAAAACACTTATTTAGCAAGAAAGAAAACCCCTCATGCAAAAATTCCATGAAAGGTTTTAAAGAACTGAAAACATCACATTACAGTGATGCAGGCATACTCATCATGTTTATAACATAAGCTCTTTTCTCAGGCAGCTCACAGCCCTCATGTCCTTCAGGTCAACTCGGAGTTGCTGAGTTCCCTCACTGCCTGATTTCAACCATAAAACAACCTCCTCTGATCGCCTCCCCTGTCTGCCTCTCTCACCCCTTTATTGCTCAGACTTATAGCACAATTCCTTCTATCACTAGACATGCTTTGTTTATTTTTAATTATACTTATTCAGCCCTCACAACAAGATAACTTTCATGAAAGCAGAGATTTTTATGTTTACTCATTGTGCTCACTATTTATTGTATTAGAGTTCCCAGGGTGCGACATGGACTTCCAGTGGTTTTCTGTAATGTACCAGAGAATGAAAGTGAACAGCTGTTCAAAAATATTAATTAAGTAGTATTTCCATTAGTTGAAGTATTTTCAAGCAAAATTATAATTCTACTTAGAGTTTCCATCATAGGTTGTGTTAAATATTCTGGACTATTCTAACAAAAGCTTTCAAGATTTAAAAAATTTAAATGTGTTTTCATGTTCTTTTCATTGTTTCTACATCCCAGATAGAGTAAGGATGATAAATACAAGAAGAGTGGGTAGGAGATAAAGAATCCTGAAGAAGAATAAATCAGAACCAAGTTTTTCCCACATAACTCTTTTGCAACACAACGAAAACCATCCTCCAGGTTACCTGAGTTATAGAGGTCCAGTGATCACCCAGGAAGTTTTTAAATGAGCGCCAGCTAATCCATCTGAATTGCTGCCAAAAGGAGGTCACGTAGGTAAAGTCCTGGAAGGCTGAGCTCTTCTTCTTCTGACCCTCTAAGAGGTGATCTAGTTCAGCTTTTGTATCTCTGTATAAGGATGAATTGGCATAGTACTCAGCTAAGTTTTCTATGGCTGGCTCATCTCTCATGGAAAATTCTTCCATCTTCTTATCTTTGTGATAAAAGTGAATGAGAAAACAAACAGTATTACAGACAAGAAATTACTAAATTCATTTCATTGTGACTCGTTTTTTGTATCACATCTCAATTCTACAGCATTGGAATAAAGATTAACAGATTTTCCATGACTATACACACTAAAAGGTCTCATTTTACTAGTGTCATAACCATATGCATATAGCAAATTTGCTGACCACTCCATTTCAGCACTAAATTCTTAAAAAGAGACATTATTGCACTGATGTATAACTGTAAATATGAAACTAAAGCCCGTGTATTGTACTCTGTGCAAAGCCTAAAGCACAAAGCTTCTTATTTAAAAAATAATGTACAGTTAAGTTTTTTATTGATGATGATTTACATCTTGAGAACTGCCTGGGCAAATTATCAAAACCATATATGAAAAAGAAAGAAAGAAAGAAAAAGAAAGAAAGAAAGAAAGAAAGAAAGAAAGAAAGAAAGAAAGAAAGAGAAAGGAAAGCAGGAAGGAAGGAAGGAAGGAAGGAAGGAAGGAAGAAAGGAAGGAAGGAAAAAACTGCATTGATAGTAATTTACAAAACCTTCTAAGATGAGTTTTCAGATTGCTAAATCTCAGCCACTATAGTTCGCTAACACTCTGTAAGTCTTACAGACACACATACATTCATGGTGTTCCTCCTCTCCGTCTGATTCCATAGCAGGGAAGACTCCACTGATAACGTCCAGCAAAAAGTCTGCAGAGTTGATGTACAGCTTATAGTTGTAACCTATGGAACAAAGAAGATGACCTAAGAAAACAAAGCTAATGATGTTGGAAATTAAAAGCATTCATATCAGAGGGTAAGTGAGGTGAGACAGGTGAACATGGAATATAAAAACTTCTCTCTCTCCCTCAACTTTTCTCTTCTCCCTTGAATCATTTAGCTTATAAGAATGTATGTGATGTCTCAGTGACTCTCTTTATCATACATATCGGAAAAAATATTAGTGACAGAGTGTATGTGCTCTCTGAATTTCCCTAGGAAACAATGGAACAGCGCTACACGTGGAAGCAATGATGACTTCTCTACCTATTCACCTCAGAAGTCTAAAATTTGTCATTCTATTATTATCTCCACACACACAAGAAATTCACACAGTGGCATTCTGCAGAGAATGTGACAAATGTAGCACACCTGAACTCTACTTCTTATAGTGCAATCATCTCAACTCAGCTTGAAATCTGCTAGTGAAATTCAACTTCCATAGACTCTACAGATTCTTATACAGTATGCATATTTATTTTTAAATTTAATGAATTTTAAAAAGTCATAATAGGACATGTGGCTAGTAAATATTTAAAATTGTACTTAGGTCAGGAGAAACATTGTTAATCATACGAAAATATCTCAAAAATTAAGCAGAGATCATTTACCATTAAAACTAAGTCACTTGACTCAATCTAATTTAGAAGTAGTGCGGAAAAATGATAACATTAAAAAGCAATTGAAGAATATAGGGAAATGGTAATTTTGAGGCCAGGCTGAACAACTTAGTATTCATGAGACACAAACGTTCAAGTGACAAGTAACTAACTGTGAGTCCAGCATACTAATTACTAAACTCTTGAGAAAAAGTCACCACACCTGGAAAGCAACACAAGCACAAGTCAAGACACATGCATGGACACAATCTCAAATAGGACAGAAAATGGAAAGGGATCTAAACTATAAAGTACTAAAAATATAGAAAAGTTATAATACTAATCTGTAAAAAGATGCTTTTAGAGTGGTAGAACCCAAGGTTCATCTACACAAAGTCAAACAGCAATCCTGTGACTTGCTATGCTGTCTTCCTTGATTCTTTGCGTGGGGCGTCTGCTTTGTGCAACTCAACCATACCTGCTGATGCAAGGTGCTCTGCAGCCATCTGTGCAGGGCCATGGAATATTAGTTTTCCTGCAGTCAGTAAAGTGAGGCTATCAAACATCTCGAAGATGGGATGCCGAAGTTCATGAATGGAGAAGATTATTGTTCGTCTCTTCTTAGATATCCTAGAAAGTAGAGAAAATAAGCAGTCATTACACATCTAAACTTGGAAGTTCCTGATAAAATACATTATTCCTGATTTTAGACCATTTAATCCCAGTTCATCTTGATTTTCTCTTATAAATATTTCATTGAGCCTCATTTTGTTAACTAATGCTTACTTTAATGATTTCATTTAAAAATGCAAGGGTTTCTTAAATGATGGTACATTAACAGTATATAATCCACAAGAAGCCTTATTAAAATGAGAATCTTCAATAGTCTTTCCAGACACTAAATTAGAATCTCTATGTTGTGCTCTAGGAGTCCAAATTGTTAAGAACCACCCCAAGTAATCTGAAAATATACTCACTGATGTATTATGCAAACTCAATATTTAGCCAATAATTACCTACTTAATCTTAAATCTTCTTGAACTTTATGATTATTATTATTCTACTTTAAGAAAACAACATTTATAAGCACCACACACACAAATAGTATAAATGTGTACATATCTTTTTGCAAACAGGAATCAAAGATACAAAATATATTTATTGTCAATGTGATTCTATCATATATATAAACACAGAAACACAGACACACACACACACACACATATATATATATTTATACATACACACACTCATAAGTGTTCATTTCTTGGATTTGTCTACTATGGATATAGAACTAATGATAACTCCAAAGTCTTTACTCAGTTAACGTTAAGCCAGAGCACTGAGTAGGTGAATAGGGTCCATTTAAAAGTAGATGATGACAGATGGATACACAGAGGGAGAAGTTGGTCATCTCCAAGCCAATGACACTATATTCAGAAGAACAATAATATGGACACTTTGATCTCAGAATTCCAAGCTCCAGAGCTATGAAAAATTAAATTTCTATTTTTAAGCCACCAACTCCATGGTATTTTGTTATAACAGTACCTTATCCAGTCTCCACTTACCTTATTCACTGAGATCTGTCCTTTTGTACTTTTTGATGTCCCACATGCACTAGGCTAGCTTGGCCATGGGACACTGCCTATTCCTTCAACTAGAGCTCTCTCTGATGGTTTCAGCCTGCTATCACTCTCTGCTTGCAACTCACTTGCCACAGTATTGAGGTCTTCTCTAACCCTCTGCTATTCAAATCAGCCCTCACAATCACAATGGCTCCCCTTCCTGTGTGTCTCATTAATCTTTCTTGATACCACTGCTGTGTTGATTGACTGCTCTCCCCAACCAAGAGTGGAAAATCTTCTGCTGTTTCACTGTTGCATCCTCTGCACTAAGAACGTCTTGTGTACAGAAGTAACCAGCTATTAAATAAATAAAAGAGGAGGTCTCATAACACTTACCTTTTCAGAAGTAAAAAGACAGCATATGCTGTGTTCAAGTCTAAAGCATTTGTTGGCTTATCCAGGAACAAGATGGAAGGATCAGTGACCAACTCCATGGCAATACTGATCTTTTTTCTTTCTGCCTTGGACACACCATGGATTAGTTCAGTTCCAACCTAAAACATAATATGACCAACAGGAATCACCACAATCACTATCATTTTGTGGAAAAACTCTGTACCATCCCTTGTAATTTAAATATTATGTGAAATACTAGCCAGATGTGATGGTACACACCTGTAATCCCAGCACGTGGGAGGTTGAGGCAAAAAGATCCTTGTGAATTGGAGGCCATCCTGACTACAAAATGAGTTCAGGACCAGCCTGAACTGCATACTGAGACTTTGTCTCAAAAAGACAAAAAATAGATGGTTTCTTACAATATTATCAATGCAGTAAGTACATTATTTTCTCTGAATGTATATTAGTCTATGTTTATAATATCATAAAAGACAAAAATTACAAATATTTAAATCAATTATGTGAATTTTAAGAAGTCAATAATTTCTTTCAATGTTTTTGCTGAAAATTCCACAGATTAATATAGGCCAATACATAGACAAAAAAAAACTGAATAAAAGGAAATACCTGGTTAGAAAGAAAAAATTAAATAAAATATAGAGCCCAAGCGAAAGAAAAAATGAATCATTCATAATAAGAAACTAAGTGGTAAATGGTAGCATGGCAGGGCTATTTCCCAAACAAGAAGAGTTCACAGTCTTTCAGCAAGTGTCATGGAAGCAGCAGTTAGCAGAAACCTTGTTTTTCGTTGACTGAAGTAGGGGATACTACACCAGGTTAAAGCACAGCCATTATCATCAGAAAGTTCGTTTTCACTTAAAACCCCAAATATCTGTTCACAATTTCTTTTATAGGGAGTTCTCAACTGGAAAGGACACTCCTCTGATTTGCATTCACGGATCTACACAACCCTCCAAATAAAGAGTTTCTTTGTTCTCTCTGTCTCTGTCTTTCTTTCTCCCTCTCCCTCTCTGGCTCCCTCTCTCTCCTCCCTTTCTCTCTCTGTCTCTTTCTCTCCCTCTCCCTCCCTTTCCCTCTCTCTCTTTGCCCACAAGTCAATTTCTAAATCCAGAAAATGAGCCTCACAGATAAGGATCTGGGGGGAAAAAAGAGAGTAAAGGAGTAATATACATGAACGAAAAGGAGTGCAAAGGCCACAAATATATAACGTGAGAATTAAACTAGGTAAAATGTGTTGAACAAAATTCCCTGCAACTCATTATTCATCAGTTCCAGAAATAAACCTTCAAAAAGCAACAGCACAAACTTCCCTGGAATAAAGAGAGATAAATTCCTAAGTTTGAATAGAGAAAAGCACAAGTAGAAAAATCAGTGCCAAATTATCAAATGATCCAGAACAGACAAGCTGGGTGAGGATCATTTGAAAACCATTACATGAGGAATAGGTTTCTTTCCTAGATCTTCTTCAGCCCCAGGATCAAACCATTCTTAAATAATTTTTTCAGCTTAATTTAAATGTCCTTATGAAGTTATGAGATGCTTTTCTCCTCTCTACAGGAAGCTGCCACTTTGACCACACACACACAAAAAAAAAAAAAAAAAAAAAATGTTTTCACGCTCGTCAAGTCTTATTGTGGCTATGATTTCACTTGTTTTAATCACATTACCTTGCAATCTGCCACTTTATCCAGACCTAATTCTTGAATGGTCTCATTAATCTTCTCATTTTTTTCATGATTGGTCATGGTTGTGGGAAGCCGAATTGCTGCTGAGAAGCGCAAGTTTTCTCTTACTGTCAGTGTGCCCATCATGACATCATCCTTAAGGCAAATGGTATTTTAGTGAGACAAACCGAGTCTTTTCTAAGCTCATCCATCACCCTACAACACATATAATACACCCAAAGTAGAGCTCTAGCTACATTCAATTCTACCAATTACAGTAACTATGTGTTAGAGGTCTGCATATCCCATTGGTATAAATTTCACACACATTTGCACAATCAAGGAGAGTAAAGCCATTACGATTGTCTTGATCTCTTATAATTAATTTGTATTTTGTTGATTCCCTTGCAGAAACAGGATTTTTAGCACATATTAGAAACAGGCATGAACAAGATATTTTTACAGATTGTAGCTAGACCTTTACAGGATGTTCACAGTCAAATATTTGAGAGGGTCCACACTGGAGGAAAGGGGTATCTTTAAAGTAAATGATTTACAATGTATATTTTCACTCTCACACAGTGTATGTTTCACTCTCACACAGTGTATCTTTCACTCTCACACAGTGTATGTTTCACTCTCACACAGTGCATGTGTTTCAGTTAAGAGAGTCTGATGCCAAGGCTGTTGTTTTGGGGGCTGATGGAAAAGGCAACATGCTGGGGAAAGGGGCAGGTCTTGTACCCTGTATTTTATAAGCTGTTGTAAAATGGAGTTTATCATTATTTCAGTAAGGATGAAGAAGGGTGCACCAGCTGAGGTGGCCTACAGAAGCAAGGAAACAAAAGCCTGTCTTGCTGCAGTTTTCTTAAATGTATAATTTTGGTTTCTAAGCACAATTTTAAGATCTTGATTTCCATGTCTGCTTTCTACCTGCATTTATCATTTTTTTTTCCTTTCTCATGATGTAACAAGCACTTTCAGACTTCTTTCTACAATAACATGGCAAGGATATCTTCAAGGGAGAAAGAAAAGTGGAAATAGCATAACATTAGACCTTGTAGAACTGATATACCAGATTCAATGGATACCACTATCCTACAAAGGTCACAGTCTGTATCTGCTCTGCATATTCATTTAATACCACACTAAAGCTGATGGATAATTATTAAAAGCTGATCTCAGGATACTTATTTCTATATGAAGCTTTTCTAAGCAGCTGGATGCTATAAACCAAGGCACTTGTCCATATAAAAATGAGAAATCTAAAATGCAAACCCAGTAATACTCACTTGTGTCACATAACCTGAATAACATTTGAAATTGGCAGGATAAGGTTCTCCATTTATCAAAACATCGCCTGAGAATTTTTCCAGGTGTTTCCTTGCAGCTAAGATATCTAACAACCTGTAAAAGGATATACATATTTTGGAACTTCTATCCCTAATACAAAGCCTATATTTATCATCTTTTCTGCTCGAGCTACAAAAATATCTAGCCTGGATATTCTATGTTTTATCTAAATATATGCATTCATTATAGGATACTTGAAAGTCCCCCCCCCAAAAAAAATAAGTTATCATTTGTTTATCAAGCAGATACCTCACAAATTATCCTGTTGGTATAGGAATTTGGAGGTTACAACGCACATAATATGCTCTTTCATGTAACACTCATGACTGTACATAAAATATCGGTTACATCTTCCCAGTTCAATTATCCATTTATTTTCACTCTCCATTGGTTCATGATATTGGCTGCTAACAATCACTTTATAATGTTCTAGTAGTAAACAAGACCAATAAGACTTGGTAGTCTTTCACAAGCTGACCAAACTGAACATTATCCACAGCACCTAGGGCCAGACTAGATGTACGCAAAAATGCTGAACTAATCCTTGCTCATGTAACAATGATTTTTTTAAAGACACTGAAACTAATAACATGGCTGACCTATACTTTATTTTATACTCACACAGATTTGCCTGAACCTGGAGGTCCAAAAATGGCATTGAGGCCAGGTCTCATGATCCCACTGTAAGCATAAAAATATATTGATTTATTGCTTTACATTAAAGAAAATGGTGCTAATTTTGAGTTTTAATTTATTACACTTAATATAGGCTGATGAATTGATACACAGAAAACAAAAATAAACCTAAAATAAAAAAACCTGATCAATAGGTTTACAATACAACATAAGGGTATTTTTCAGTCACAACCTATAAGGTTTAGTATCCTTTCATGTACAGAAACTCTTTGATTCACAAACACTGGTGTCCATGAGTAATTTGGTTCCTCTTTGGCAGAATTTTGCTTTGCTTCAGGAACTCTGCATTGGGGTGACAAATGGAACCAAAATCGTCTTCCCACAGTAACATAAATGTAAACATCTTCTGTGCTCTGGTATATGATTGTAGCTTCCTCTAGCTGATATCATGATTCCAGAGAGACCTATACACCCTTGCTCTAAAGAGCATTTTGGTGAGCTTGTTAGCACATACAGTGTTATTTAATCTAGCACAGCTCCACAGAAAGTGCAGAGCAAAGATCATGGGGAAAAGTGTACAGCCATGAGGAAGGTGGCACATACAGGCAGACCAATTAGGAGATAAGTCACATTAGTGTTTTCACCTATCACACTGTCTTGTACTGTACTTCTTAAAAATATTGTGGGTAAAAATAGCTATGGTTCAGAATGAATTAGCTATGTTTACATTGAATCTTCTGGGAAAATGTTATTCAGTTTCCAATGAAAATGTGTTTTCAGCACATTATTGGGGGTTGGAAGAGATTAATTTTATTTATACTGAACCTTATGGGGAAATTTGATTCTGTTCATGACAAACCCTATTACAGTTCAAAATTATGAAATACATTAAGCTCATGAAGGGTGGCACTACAGTATTCTCAAAGTCATTTATTCCTTGGTAACTTTTTCTATAGAAACAAAATTGATTAAAAATACATGATTATACAAAAAGATTTGTTAGGCTGATTTACAGGATCAGAACTAGAAGAGTCACAGGCCATCTGCAGGATCAGAGATAGAAAATTCCAGCATGGCTCTTTTTGTGCTGCTAATTCAAAGGATTCAGAAGCAGCCAGAGTTGGAGGCCTAAAAACTCACAATAGAGTCACTTGTGTGAGTCTCTATCAGAAGGTCAAAGAGTCTGCATGGAAAAGCTCAAGAGTGTGAGCTAAGGGGCTGGAGGTTTAGCTCAGGGGCATAAGCACCTGCCTTGCAAGCAGGCAATCGTGAGTTCGATCCCTGGTTCCGATAAAAAAGTTTAAAAAAAAAAAAAAAAAAGATTCTGAGCTAGAATGCTGAAGAAAGTGGAGACCAACGCCCAAAAATCAATGGCAAAGAGTGGTGCAAAAAGAAAAAGATAACACTTCCTTTTTCCCTTTGAGTTCTGTGCTGTGCCTTCGAATCCATGTTTGCTCATCCAAATTCACATTATTGGCATATGTGTAAATCTTTCACAAATACAACTGCAATTTAGTAATTCTTTCAGGTGCTTCTTATTCAAGTTGAACCATAATAGTAGATGATCACAGTTCACTGTTTCTCAACTTGACAATCTAATGTATCTCCTTAAACAATACTTAACCTCCAAATATAGTAGAAAGTACTTAATTACACTGAATGTAGTACAACTTTTCCGCATACAAAAGACAACACACTAACTCTCTCTCTTAATAGAACACAAAATGTTTCTCTGGGTGGTCCTTACTCTTCTTCCGAATTCATTAAATTATGTATTATCTTACAGATTTAACAAAGTTAAACCAATAAACATTAACACAAAGAAAGAAATCAAAGATATTTAATAGATGTGTTAATACGCTCAAATATATAAATAAAATGGGAAGGATATACTCTTAAAAATTATAATCAATACTTCTGAAACCGGCTGATGTTTCCCACTGCTATTGATAACTAACATCTAGCACTCATTACTTTGGTCACTAGAAAACATTTCAGTGGGACTTGGTTGTTTGATTGGATGGGATGATACCTCAAGAAAGTTTTGGGTCTTTTGTCATCCATGCTGCATGGAGTGTCACAGTTTCCCATTACTATCGTTTGTGTCTTCAGTGACTTCCAGAACTCTTATGTGTTCAGTGATGGAGTGTTTAGATGGTGGTGGGATCATGAGATTGCTATACTTGACTAGTTAGGAAATGGAGCCTGGTGGTAAAGGGTCACTTAAAGAATCACTATGAATGATACATCACCCTGTCTACCTCCTCACTTTACTCTCTCTCTCTCTCTCTCTCTCTCTCTCTCTCTCTCTCTCTCTCCCTATAATTTGAGCAGTTTTTCCTCCAACTTTTCTTCTTTGAAGTGGTTGATAATTTAAATGTTGAGTTATGAGTTTCAGTGATGAGAAAGTAACTAAGGTATCACTGTCCTGAATAACTGGCATGGTAATATTTGGGACCCTAAGTGGCTTCTTGGGATCCAAATATACTCCAAGTATCCTTTTGTTTACAGCCATTGTGGAGGATAAATGCAATTTCTCCTTCATAGACTGGGTCAATTCTCTATTTCAATAACATATCCTTTTAAAATCTTGTTGATTGATACCTAATGTACACAAAATAGCCAGAGTGAAATCATTGATTTCAAAGGAATCATTGTTGTGTCCTCTTGTACAATCATTGCTCCTTCTGGAACTAAGAACCCTAGATCCACTGAGCATCAGACTGCAAAACAGGAAGCAAAACTTTGCTAGTTTATTGCTAAGAGTAATAGTGAATGATGTCATTTTCTTTTCTACTTCTTTATTAATTGAACAATGATTCCTGGTTGTAGGAGAAAGGGTAGTGTATATTGTTCACTTATTCAAAGTATGTAGAGCATTCAGGGAAACCTTTCCCCAGTATTACAATGCTTTTCTATCTTGATGTCACACTTATTATGTCTTAAAAATCAATTGTACCTTTATACCAATCCACTTGCTTCATTACCATAAGGAAAAATACTAGAACAGTGAATTCCAAAAGTGTGAGCACATTATCACACTTCATTGGCTGAGAAGGCTATTCCTTAGTCAGAAGCAGAGCTATGTGAAATACTGTGTTGGTCATATGTTATTTTGTAAGTCCAAGGTTAAGAGTTTGGGCTGGTTATCCATGGATTCAGCAACACTGCAACCGCTCAAAGGCTAATCTAATATATAGCCTGTGATGATCACCTTTTCTGTCAGCAGCACAGACAAATTCTGAGGTCCCAAAATGACCCATTGCTTTAGGATATCAATCTGTGACCTGTTGATAGTTTGATTATACTGGACCCTTCAATCATAGAATGGGCAGAGCTTCATTATTACTAGAATAGACACTTATTCTCATGATGGATTTTTTTCTCCTTGCCAATTTTCTCTAAACTGTTGCACTTATAAAATGGTAAGTAGAAGGATAGGTAAAATGTGCATTTTCTATAGCTAACTGACTGAGATATCTCTCACTGAAATTTTGGACATAGACAATGAAAGTTTTGATAACCTGGAACATTCACTTTTTATTTTAGTGACCTTATCCTGGCTACCAATACAAAAATATACTACAAAAAACAGTTTTTTTATTTATTTATACCATTTCATGCATCATCTTTACTAATAACTGTCTGATACCTGCTTCTAAAGTGATGAGAAAGCAAGAATATGCACTCAAAGACAGGGAATTGAACAACTTATAATAATAGTGCAACCAGCCCAGAAACCATCAGGAGCTGCCGGTAGCTGGAGGACTGTAAAAAGCATTTTGTGGCATTTTATAGAGGACAGAAGTGTGAGCAATACTCAGATCCAGAAATCCATCCAGACCCCTTTTGTAGGTCAAAGCTTCATTTGTGAATTTAGGGAGAAGAGCTGATTTATTGAACTCACATTGCAAGATATGGAGTGCTGTGAGGATGCTTTAATTTAGTACTTTGCAATGGTATATATCTAATAATTTTCCTTTATTTTTTCTTAGGTTCTTTTTCCTTTATCATCCCATTTTCTTTACCTCATGCATCTAATATACGTGTAACGTATAATATATATTGTATGCATATATACGGGAGGTGTCAGTATATACAACAGGAGAAGAAAATTAATTAATTCATAACCCTAAATAATGCCTTTGTTGGAATATCAGTGTAATCCGCATGAACCTTGTGTATATAGGACTTTGATAGCCTATTATATAACAGCCTATAATCAAGGTCTGATCTTTTCAAATCTTCCCTCAACGTCCAATTACACACCACTCCCTCTGCTCCATCTGCTCCCGTGAATATACTTTAAAACTCCAATTCATGAGACATTTACTCAAGATGCAAGAATAATAAAAACATTAATCAATCTACCTCTTTCTTTCAAGTATTATTTCTGTTTTCTCCTTTCTTTTTTCTAATTTATCCTCTTGATTTTCCTCTCATTCCCCCAAGTCCCTCCCCAAACACCATTACACACAGAAACACACACACACACACACACACACACACACACACACACACACACACACGGAGAGAGAGACAGAGAGAGAGAGACAGACAGAGAGAGAGAGAGAGAGAGAGAGAGAGAGAGAGAGAGACAGAGAGAGAAACAAGAGAAAGCAAGGCAATATAATGCCTCCAAAAACAACTAATTCCCCAATGGCATTGATGGAGAGAAAATCAGAAACCCAAAGACTGAAATATACAAAATGATAACAAGGAAAACAGAACTATCAATAAGATATTCAGCGGGCCCAAAGATGACTAATCCAAAGGAATAAAGAACTTAACTGTCCCCACACAAAACACAGCACTGACTGATGCAAGGGCAGAGCCACCCACTTAGTCCAAGGAAGTACTACAATCTGTTTACCTGTGACATGGGGCGCCAGAGGTGAGAACTAACAAACTGCCCTAACTCTGAATGAGGACAATCTCAAAGAGAGAAAGAAGCAAACAGATTCCATGACTATGGACATTTAGTGCAGCCTACAATGTGGTCTCCATTCAGCAGAAAAGCTGTTGGCAAAAGAAATGGAGATGTGTTAGGTACATGTGCCAACTCCTCAGAAGACATGTAAGTGTTACCACAACCATGATGGGAATAAAGTTTGGAGTCAAGAGATGGGTGGAGGGTTAGGGTGTAAAGGAAAAGGGGATAAAAAATGGGAAATAAAATGCATTATGTCCATGTACCAATTCCCCACCATCATCTACTAATGAAAAAATTTCAAAAATGTAATAATCTTAAAAATATAGTAGAATATATGATTGTCCTGTATAGCAAAGAATTGAAGTCCATAAAAATCTTTACTGAAACTATAGGCGGCAGAATTCGCCCATGAGAAGAGACAGTTCCCGAACTAGAATGCCTAGAACATAAGATTCAATGCTGGACAGCATAGGTCCAGAGATAGCTCCAAAACTCCAAAGATCATAGAAATTGATTCAAACAATTGATTCAAGAGGCCAAGATCCCTAAGTTTAGGTTAACAAGAATCAGAGAAAAATCAGAAGATAGCAAAAACAGTATGAAAACTCTCTTTACTGAAACCATACAATAGCTTATCTTCCATGAAAAATAAAACCTTAAGAAATTCATGACTGTGTATTAGTCATTGATTTGCAAGAGAGCAGAGTAATGCACTTCACCTCCTAAAAACGTGAGCTATAAAGGGACAGGGATGGGAAGAATGAGGGATTTGGCCCACACTGTGAAGTACTTCTACTAGGGAATAAGAAAATGCACCAAGCAGATCACTAAATAGACTAAGAATAATGGGAGTCAAATTTCTTCTGACATTTCACAAACTTTAAAATGTGAAAAGATACATAGGACTTGATGAATTAATGAGAAATCATGGATTTTTTTATTGACATGTATACAACTGTGAATGTTCAGGAATACATATAAATGCTAATTCTGTTCAATGAAATGAACAAGAAGAGACACATGAGTATATATTTGATAGATACATAAGTTTTCAGTTTTTACTTTTTAGTACATATTTACATTACATACTGGCTACTCTGTTTGTGGAGACTCATTCCACAAACAGCACATCTCAGTATTTTTCTCAGCCTCTTTGCCACCACTCATCACCTCTCACTCCATTTCTTGATCCCCTGTCCATTAACTAAAATCTATATATTTACATCCTATTATCGTTAATGTTTCTCTTTATGTATTTTCGTGATATTAGGGAATCATGAGTATTTGTGCTTGTGGATCTGATGTATTTCCTTGATATTATTGTCTCCGGGTACATCTATTTCCGACAAATGACTTAAGATTTTCCTTCTTTATGGCAAAGTAGGAATACAAAGTATAAAAAGACTGCATTTGTTTCTTCTATTAATCTTTTGTTTAAAAATGCAAATCACTTTTTAAAAATCTTGATGATAAAAGAAAAGTCATTTCATCACTGTGTCTCAGGCTTACTCTAAAGAAATGAAATTATGTGTCTACATATTGGTACATATACATGAACTCACAATTAATTACTCACAATTAATTATTGGTAATATGGAAAACATGTATAACTAAGGTGTAGATCAACAAAGAACTCTTTAAAAAGATGTAACACTTACCTTATATTTGATAGTATGTCTTTTTCCACTGTTTTCTTACCAAGTAAAAATCTACTCTTCATTTTTACTCTATAAGAAATATTATGAAAACTTAAGACAGCCCCTTCAGGATGTAACTTCATGTCATTAGGGATCATCTCAGAGACACTGCTGACGTTTCTTTCTGACAGTGGGATATTAATCTGGTCGTTATTAGAGGACATCTGGAGAGTTTTCCTCTGCTGTAGAAGGAAAACCAACAGTCAGGTGAATCCCATCAAATTGGCTTGTAAACCCTAGGTAATATATTTCAATCAGCGTGTTTTAAAATGCATCATTATAAATAAATTCTTTATCAATAAACAGCATACACAACTACTTTAATACTTATGATGCGAGACATATGCATCCTTAAATACGTAGAGTCCTATTGTCATATTCCTAAGACATAATGAGACGTGATGTTTAGACTAATCTGGCTTGAAAAGCAGAGTATAAGACACCTTATATTCAAGGAAAGACCACATGATCATCATCATACTTCCTACATTTTATTATACTTTGATAATTTATGATATTGCTAGTATCCAAAGGATTTAGTGAGTCATTCAGGAACAAAAGCAATTTCTCTGAATTTTTACATCCTAATGTATACTTGTGAGTATTATATGCTTTCAATAAAGTAAGGTGGTAAATTCCAAAAAGATTTCCAAAGACACAATCATCTTCTTATTTGGTAAACATACAATACTGAATTTCTAAAAGATATAGAAATTTATTTCTATAATAAATTACAAAGGAGAATAAAGCCTGTAAAGATCACAAGATTTTGAAGCAACACTTGAATTCTATTTATAAAAGTTTTCAATGTTTTAGGAAACAAGTTACAGAAGGCCCTGTAAAAAAATTATCTACACTAAACATTACATGAACAGAGCTAGTAAAACAGGATTGAAATGTAACCTACAATAAACTAGTTTTTATTTTTAAAAGCCAAATTCATCCTTGCAGTACTTTCTGTCGATGTATGTATGTTTGACTAACAGGTTCAACCAAATAATGGTCATGAGAAGAACCACAGAGAGGGAGACAAAACATGAGAACCTGCTGTAGGAAGAGCTCTCTGATGAGAGAAACCAAAGCTTCCTGAGACAAAAGAAGAATCAAAATTCTGGAAAGAAAGGAATAGCCCGGAACCCAGCTCAGCACCTGTTAATTTTCCCTCCTGATATTTGTACAGGCAAACTGCACCTGCATGGGGAATATTTCAGGAAATCCAAGCAGAACAAATATACTAGAGGAATACTGGAAAATACTTGAGAAAATAATTCAGCAGGCTTTCAGCTAAGACATTTGATCTTTCAGCCCCAACAAAGACTGAGAGTCCTTAAAAGGCAAAGTTTGAGATCTGAAAGGCTACGCCCTAGAAATATGGACAGATGGAAACAGGCCCAGCTCTGCTTCTTCACAGTGACCTGTGAAAGTCTTTGCTGAAGGAATGTTAATCCTCTCTTGACAAAGATACTGTTGTTCACACTTTCCGCTGAAATTATCATGCATGCCAGAAAAGGAGACCTGTATCTCTAGAAATGAATACTGAGAAATAGACCTAGTAGTAATATCCAGACTGGAGTCATCAAATGGTAATATTCATAAAATCGTTTTTGATAAAACAAAGGAAAATATAGATTACCACCTAAGAAACAGATTATTTCTAAAAGAGTAAAAATTTAAAATTAAGTATGTAATCTTAGCAGTTTACACAGAAAAAGAAATGGAATGTAAAGTGGAGGAATGATATATAAGAAACCAAAACAAGGAGTTTCTGACCTTGAAAAACAAATTAAGAAAAATTTAAAAAGATAAAAACATGAAAAAATGTAAAGAAAAAACACAAAGAAATGGTTCTGGCATATTTGCAACTGGAGTTCAGAGGGAGAAGGAAAAACAAACAAACAAAAAAAGCCTTACCATTTGATCATATATTTGCCAAGTATCTCCTGTCGAAACTTTGAAGACATAGATTAATTAAACTCTACAAATATGAAACTGGAAAGTTCAAGAGAGCCACTTACAAGCATAATATATCCAAACTGCTAGAAAATAATCTCTGAGGGACTGTTCTATACCCAAAAACTTACAATTCAAAACACTCAGTTTGGAAAATGGACACTTGGGAAATAATTTTGAGCTTGGCATCTAGGGAATTAAAAGTAAAGAACTAAATATTAATGTGCAATCACTGTCAATGGTAAAAATTACCCAAAATTTCATTCCACAGAAGCAGTTAAAAGAAAAGGCATAGGCACTGAAGGGGACTCACAACTTTAATTTGCAGTCCTGTGAACGATTTGCCTATGACTTCAGAAAGCAAATACAGATTTTCTTCATTTAACAAATGTTTCAACTTACATGTCACCACTGAGACTTAGAACAAATATTTTCTGAATTATACGACTCTATACATCATGTTTATAGAGCCTTGGTGTCTTTTTTGTATACTATACCTTCTATATACAGTACTATAATTTTTACTGATTCTATGGTACAGTTTTATATTGTTATATATTACTGCATGTAAGAGTTATGCAAGTAATATCAAAGTTATGAAGTTGAAGTTTCCTTTGCCATTTCTTTGTTCTGAATATTGTAATGTACATACTATAATTACAACTCCTAACTTAGTGACCAATTCATTTAACACCCTAGGCATAGGAACAGAACAGAATAGTCATTAAACTAAGAATGGTTACAGAGCAACTTCCAGCATCACTTAACAGTTGTAAAACTGTTAAGTAATGTGATGTTTTAAAAGCCAAATTCATCCTTGCAGTACTTTCTGTCGATGTATGTATGCCTGAACAGTAATGTGATGTTAGTCAAATACCTGAATAGTAATGTGATGTTCAGGCATTAAGGATGTTTCTACCTTCCCTAGACACTTATTAAGAGAATGCCAAGAACACATTGTTTTACTTTAAATAGATAACTGACTCAAGATGGAACTGAGCTTTCTGTGACTTTTCTTACAAGTAAAAAGTAACAAATGTAACTGAAGTACACAAGAAAATATACCTATGTCTACCCAAAACAGTGGGCGATAACTTCTAAATACAGTAATAGCATTAGAAGGGTACATAGAGAGTTCACCTGCCTGGTGAGTGGATTGAGTTTGAATTCAAGGACTCCAACTTCCTTTCTAGGGTTCAAACATCTGCCTCAGAGGAATGCATAACATACACATAACATATTGCTGAAGTGTGGTATAACTTGAAGAAATGAAGAAAATAAAGAAGGAATGAGGAAGGAAAGAAAAAGTTAAACTTGCAAAAAAAACCCTTTATTTCAAATACAAAAAGAATAATGTTTTTCCCCAAGATGAAACAAACAGTGTAGCAAGGATTATGAAACAGAAGAAAATACATCTCAGTACCAACTAGTGCATAATGCTTGTTAACAGTGTGCTGTGGTAGAAAGTAGTGTAGTTAAGTATACATTAGTCTTTCCTGTAGGAGCAGCTTTCTAGACCCTGGTAGTGCTCTCACAGGACTAACAGTATGGTTTTAAATGAAGAAAAACACTCCAATCATGTGTAGATTTCTCGGTGACAAAATTCTGCCTCCTTCTCCTTTCTGTTTCCTGGTTTCCAGAGCCCCACTAATCCTAACTGCCTTCTCCTCACTCTCTGTGTCCTAAACCCAATGCAGGGACCTCAAGTTCATTGATGAAAACTTCCAAGGAACTTCACAGCCCACTGAAGCCAGCCTTCTCATGATTTCCAGACTAATTATAAATCTAATCAACTTGAAAACTTCTTCTAAAGAAGATTTTAGGGCTTGTTTTTCTCTTTCCAGTTGTGCTATTTCTGGGACCCTACATACATCATCCTCTTTTCTCTTTGTATATTCTAACTACCAAGGCTACAAATTTACTTTTTGAACACTTTAAACATTTCCTTTCACTATATTTAGATAGGTATACATATATATCATAATAACAATCTTTAATAAAACTACTAATTTTATATTCCTTTTACCGTAATCTTAATTGTATACTTATCTAAAACCAGAGTACCAAACGTGGTTATTCTACAATGAAAATTGCACAAATAAGAAAGGCAGATAGGAAGTCTGCAAAGGAAGATTTTGAATCCTGTAACTTTTAAAACTATTTCACATTGAGTACACAAGGGAGCTGTTTTTTATATTTTTTCATAGCAAAGTTTCTAATAAATGGAGATTTGGCCTCTGTCTCATAAATCTAAAGCTCCTTTATAAGCACATACCTCTGTTCATTTTTTTTTCTAGTAAAATTGCAAATTGAACCCAGTGAGTTTACACTGTGCTACACAACCAGATTTTTTAAATTCTTATTTTGAACATTGTTTCCATACGACATTAAATTGCCCGGTAATGTTCACATTGTTTATCCTTCTGTCTCAGTCAGAGTAGTAGCATTATAAGTTTATTCCAGCATGCTTGGCAAGCAAGACTGGCTAAAGAATTTACTTACATGAATCTCAAGAGTCTGCAATCATGCTGGACATGGTAGAGTTTATCTGTAACCACACCACTCTGCACATTGAAGCAGAGTGATCATTAGTTGAAGGCTGTTTTCATTTTCATAGTAAGACTCTGTCTCAACAGAGGAGGGAAGATGCATAGTAAGACTCTGTCTCAAGGAGAGAGAGAAAATGCAAAAGGAGAGACAGATGAGCAGGGAGAACAAAAGGAAGACAGAGATGGAAAGGAAGTTGAGAGAGGAAGTTGGGAACAGGGAGATTACATTTCCAAGAAGATAGGAGCCTGATGGTTTTATTATCAGGTAGCTATTTTTTATGGAAAATACAAAAAGGAGCACAAAATATGCATTCTAATTTTCAAATATTATCCCTTATGTTTAAGACATCTGTCAATCAATGCTTCTCACATTGTTTCTCACTCAATATATACACCCTGGTGCACCTAACATGGACTCTGAATTCCAAGGTTGCTCATTAAAGTTGACTTGGGGGTCAGTCTGCTCACTGAGGTGACTCCAGGAACCCCCTAACTGTTTGTATAATCTACAGGCCACGCTGTGACAATGAATGAACCCCTTTATGAAAGATATGCATGCTCAGTGAGAAGGTCCAACACATAAAACACATATAAACACAAAGGACAAAAAATTCATGTGCCCTAAACCTGTGAGTCATCAAAAGCATGATTTTGAATTCCACTAGATGCAGTCAGAGACATAA